CTGGCTACTGTGCGGGCTATACCCCTGCCCCTCCACGGCCTCTACCGTGACCTCGGCCTCTCGCGGCCCCAACTGGCGGTATTGGTGGTTGTCTGTCGTCACCAGTAGCGCGTGTCCTCACCATCTGTGAGAGAATAGAATAACACAAGTTTAGTTACTAGAATCAATAGGCTCACACAATAAGAATTCAAGAATGTGAAGTTTCCTAAGGGTTCTGCAGTCTCTCAAAGATAAGTATAGACGTCTTCGTACCGATCCGCAAGACTCTACTAAACTCGCTCATGACTCGTGAGACCTATGTAACCCAAGCTCTGATACCAACTTGTCATGACTCATAACACCAACCTGTCGTGATGGCGCCTATCGTGGTACTAGGCAAGGTGATACCTTTCGAAAGCACTTCGATATTTCATTTAAAAGATAGATCAAAGCTTTTTCATAACAGAAATTTTCATAAAATAGTTTAATTCAAAATAAAAATACGGAAAAGATAGCCCGACATCTGGGTGTCACTAAGTCATGAGCATCTAAAACCAGTCCAGAATCAGAGTTTACAATAGTCCACCAATTCTAAACAGAAAGAATAGATAACAATGGAGGGAGAGAAAAGAGTTGCCGACACCGGCAGCTACCTCATAGATTTCCGACAATCAACTACGCACGAACTCAACAACCTCTGCGACCGGTCTTACCGGAATCTGCACACAAGGTGCAGGAAGTAACGTGAGTACTTCCATCTCAGTAAGTAACAGAAATAAATAAGGAACTGAGAAGCAGTTACGAGCTATGCAAATACAGTTTATTTCAACAAATTTCAGTAAAGAATAGGCATGCTTTCAAATTTAGCAGTTTAGGCCAAATCAGTTCGTGCTCAAGTAAACAAGATATCAAGTCTTTCAGAGAGTTGCACAACAAGGACGGATAACGGCTAAGTGGAGCAATAATTGAAAGCAAGTACAGCCTCTCAAGGCAACAGTCACTCAGCTTGTCTCAACAGCTCAATCACTCGGCTCTCAGTCCTCAATAATCATACTGAATAGGTACCTGCGCTCACTAGGGTGTGCAGACACCGGAGGAGCTCCTTCAACCCAAGCACTATAATCCACACGGACAACTCACGTGCTATAATATCGAAACAAGACCCGCACGGACAACTCGTGTGCTATAATATCAAATCAAGATCCACACAGACATCTCTTGTGCTGCACGGACAACTCACGTGCTACAATATCAATGTCTCACCACTTGACCTTAGGCCTCACTCAGTAACCAACCTCCCTGGTCTTTTGGGCTCTTAAAAATCATATACAATAGCTCAAATAGAGATAATATCATGTATCAACAATGAACAGTAAGAGACGGAGGCATAATAAGAAAGAAAAGCTATGACTAAGTACAAAATAGTAATTAGTAATTAATTCAGCAAGTACACGACCTCACAGGTCTCAACAGTGATAACATAAGGCATAAACATGATGTATGACATGAAATGCAGTTAATTTCCATGAAACGGAGGGAACATGTAGTAAACAGTAAGCTATTCGACTCCACCATCTCACGGGACGGACCAAGTCACAATCCCTTTGGTGCACGCCCACACGCCCGTCACCTAGCATGAGTGTCACCTCCAAAGTAGTAACACGATATAAAATCTGGAGTTTCATACCCTCAGGACCAGATTTACAACTGTTACTTACCTCAATCCGAGCAAATCTCTATTCCGCAATGCCTTTGCCTTCTAAATCGGCTTCCAAACGTCCCGCATCTAGCCACAAACAATACAATACGATCAATATAGGTTAAAGGAATCAATTCCATAAGAAAAATACCAAATTATAGCTAAAATCCGAGATCGCCTCAAACCCGGACCCTGGGACCACATCTCAAAATCCAACAAAAGTCACAAAACCCGAAAGCCTATTCACTCATGAGTCTAACCATACTAAATTCATCAAAATCCGACATCATTTGCCCCTCCAAATCCCCAAAACTCACTCTCCAATTCTCAAGCCTTAATCTCCCAAATTTCACATCAAAAACTCACCAACTAGGTGTAAAATCAGTGGGGAAATACCATTATTGAAAATAAATAAGCACAATGACCATTATGCGTCATATATCCACTTTGCGGGCCGCACCGTGGTCGCATAATCGTCCTTAGACTTTTGCAAAGGGAGGTTCAGCGGTGCATTATACGAGCGCAGAATAGGTATGTGGACAGCATAATGGTCGCAGACCGAAGCAAAAAAATCAGGCCCCTAAGAGACACTTTTCGCGGTCATTTTGCAGACTGCATAACCATTATGTGGTCGCATATGCGATCGCAGATCCGTATCAGGGCCCCATATTTCTAATTTTTAAAAGTGGTTCCATGTCGTTATAACTTATACTATGGCCCATTTTAAGCCTATTTCCTGGTACTTTTAGAGTGAGAAAGAGGGTCTAAGAGAGTGAAAGTGTCCTTCATCAAAATTGCTCCATAAATTCTTGTTTAAACCTTGAAGATTGTCAAGAGAGACACCTAGATCTTCTTCCTAAGAGGTAAGACTCTATCACCCAAACCTTTAAATTCAAAATGTAACTAGAATGGACCATTAGAGAGGTAATTCATGGGGATGGAAGTGATTATCTTGCATGCATGTATTGTAAGGGAGTGTAGGGAGCTTGTGAGCTAAAATGGTAAAAGATAGGTTGTGGGATGATAGAATCTTTCACAAAAAGGGCTTGAAAACATAATGCACCTAGTGCTTGATAATATGCTCAACTGAGCTACAATCTTGATCATCCTTCTAATTTTTGATTCAACTTGTAATGTTCACAAAATAGATTAAAGTTGCTTAGAGTTCCGGAATTCATTGTAAGAATGGCTCAATTGAGGTATGTATGGCTAAAACCCCCTCTTCTTAGAATTGAACCTCTTGGTGACCGTACAATTGGTGTAAGTCCCCAAATTGAACGATATAGAAATTGTTATTCCAAATGTGCTTGTGTTGCAAATAATATGTGAAATATGTGTTCCAATGCTCTCATTATGCTATCTTGTCACTTGAGGACGTGTTAAAGGTATAGAATATGTGCTTAAATTCCTAGACTTCAAATCGAGTTTGAACAAAGATTGTTATACCAAAGTATGTAAAGTCCTCTATATGCCTATGATTTATAATTGCTCTCGTGTGTGCTCAATATCTTGAATTGAAAGGCTTGTTTGTTGAAAATGATAATAATGTGAAATGTTGAAAAGAACTTGGATTATGAAATTCGGCCAAGTACCAAGTATGATGTAATAATTATGGCCACAAGTGCCGATGAATTGATATATATGAAAGAAATATGAAATGGGATGATTGATGGAAAATGGTAATGTCTTGGGTGAGATGGCCTAGCCGATCGGGCCGTGATCGGACGCCATGCCGCACACATGGTGGTACTGTGCTGTAAATTGAATATTGAAAATTTGAAACTGGTAATTGAAATTGGAATTGTAATTGTGGGGAATGTCTCCAATGAGACGACCTAGCCGATCATGTCGTGATCGGACTCCGTATAAAAGTACGGTGGTATTGTGAATGATGAGGTATCAACACTAATGATGTCCCAATTTAAAGCTATGAAAATTACTTGAAAGCTTATGTGATCCTTAATTTGATGTTGTAGTGTTGTTTAAGATTTCCATTGATTCCATGATTATTTCTTCTTCTATTATTGTTCTTTCTAATGAGATGGTGTTTAGTTATACATACTAGTACTATTCGATAGTACTAACGTCCTTTTTGCCGGGGGCGCTACATCTTTAAATGGATGTAGGTGGTTCCATAGTAGGCAGTGATCGCAGCTAGCGGTGCATCGTCATCATCTATCCAGCAGCCTTGGTGAGCCCCATTTCTTCTCGGGGTTATGTAGTATATCTTCTATTTATATGTCACCATGTTTTAAGGTATAGCTGGGGCCTTATTGCTGGCGTTGTTGTGACTCTCTTTTGTATCTTTAGAGGCTCTGTAGACACTATGTGGGTTGTATATGGGTATTGAAAAGGCCAATGGTTTATGTTGTGTTAAAACTCTTGTTCCACTTAGTCGCAAGGATGTGTGTATTTTGAAACATAAAAATGATGTAATCTATGAAGTGATTTAGTAATGTTTACATGATCTTCCTAGTGTTTAATAATAAAAGCATGCCCTTTTTTTATCATAACTGAGTCGGGTAGAAAGTGTCTAACAGGCTTGCTCAGTCGAGTTCGTCGGTCGCGCTCCTTGGTTTTTGGGGCGTGACAACAAGTTAGAAACAAATATTGACTTGTCATACACAATTCAGGCAGCAGATTTTACGGCGTAACAAATACTGGTCAACCTGAATATGGTGCAGTAGACACTGCAAATGGAGTGAATCCATCAGCACATAATCCCAGCCTAATATTACTCGGTTCACCGGCAAAGTCTAGGAATACCCTATCAAAATGCTTGCTTCTCCATTTGACGGATGTCATAGCACAACATCTGGCCTTCTATGTTCGTAATGCCATCCCATATGAGGATCAGAACTCGTTGATGCATACAACTCTTTTAACCTTGGTATTAGGGGTAAGTAGTGCATCGCCTTCACTAGAACTTTCTTCTATTTAGCATTTGTGACTTCTTTGTAACGCGGCTTGTTACAAAATTTACAATTTTCTAAAGATGCATCATCCTTATAGAATAACATGCAACCATTCTCACAACAATCGATCCTCTCTAATGAAAGACCCAACATGGAAACCAATTTCTTTGCCGTATAAAAATCTTTGGGCAAGTCAATCTTGGTCGGATTAAGTTCATTCATAAGGCCAATGATAGAATCCACGTCCACTTGTAAAAGAGAATTATCTAATTTAATACTTAGTAATCTAACTGCAACAAACAACTTGGAATGTGTTGCGCCTTCATAAAGCGGACAACTAGCTTTCTCTAATTGTTTGAAGAAACTCTTAGCCTCATCATTTGATTCGGATTGAGCCACAGGGAACATCTCAAACGCGTCCCTCATCATTTCATTAAATCTAGAATTTTCAACATTAATATTGTCCGCTATGGGACTACCTTCTTCACCACCATATGAGTTTTGAAAATGAACATCATCTACACTAGCGTGACTCTCCCCACGCACAGTCCACACATAATAATGTTTCATAAATCCCTTCTTATACAATTGAACAGTACAATATCGCCCCAATAACTTAAAACGCTTGCATTTCACACAGGAGCACCTAATCATCCCTTCAATAAGGAAATCATCAAGTGTCTTTACCTTAGCAATAAAGAAAGCTAGCAACCCCTTCTATAAATCATCCTGCAACCCCATACGATTCGGATGATTCTCATTATACATCCATCTACGATGTCCAAATTCCACCTACACAAACAAAACAAAAACTTGAAATTTTTTTATAAGATATTTAAAATTATTTAGTATATTTAAAGTAATTAATAAGTTATGCCAATTCGAAGGCTCCTTTTTCAAATTTACTTATTATTTGCCAACATGCTTTAATTAATATATTATATCTAAATTACAATTCTCTAACACAAAGAGAAAATTAGAACTGAGATATTTAAAATAATTTAGTTTATTTAAACTAATTAATAAGTTATATTCTTTCAAAGGTTCCTTTTTAAAATATACTTATCACTTATCAGTATCCCAAAGCACTTTAATTAATACGTTATATTCTTCTAAATTAAAATAATCTAAAACTCGAACACTCACATTAAACCCTATTCTAAAATATAAGTCTTTGACTATATCAATTAAATTTGAATAGCTTGTTATATATTCATAAAGTCCATATACACATCGCTAATTTTTTCAAGAAATGAAAACAGAAAGACTAACATGTGGCGCTTCTAGCCTTAGTATAAGATGCATTTGAATTTCTATTGACTTAAGCTACCAATCTATTATTTTTATTGCTTTAGAAGCTAGCTCTTTGCATTTACAAGTACTAATGGATTTTAAGAAAGATTGTCACTTTATTCTTATACAATTGAGGTAATCAAGATTATTTTCAAATATGTCAAGAAGTAATTAAGTTTGACAACAAAGATTGAGTCATTCAATTAACATATGTGAATACCTTCTAATAAAAAATTAAAATGGTCATCTTATCAAAAAGTAGACATGAGAAATTACTTATATACATTTGGTGTACCCAAAACAATAAGTGCACTCATCATCTACAGTTGTAGTATGCGTCAAATCAAATTAAAACAGAAAAAAAACAACTAATGTAAAATCATAAAATCAAGATTAAAATATTGACTCTAAATTCAATTTCAAGTTTAGAGAACTAACCTTGAATTTGCGATTTTTTTGCTTGTTCAATCCAAACCAAGCCGAAACTTGTCAAATGAAACTCAAATATTTACCACAATCTTCACAGCAACAATTAAAACAAACCCTACAAATCAAATTTTTATATTTGCTTCAAAAAATCAAGTCAAACGATGAAATTCTAAACTTGCTAAAACTTCAAAGTCAAAAGAAGAAATCTAACAAATAAATTGCTTACCTAGCTGGAAAAACGCCGGAGAAGAGAAATTGATTGCGTCGGACAAGGTGGAATTGCGGCTGATTCGCTGAAAATTAAAAGAAAAAATCACTAAGTTAAAAAAAATGACGGACGGAGGGAGGAGGAGAGAGAGAGAGAGAGAGGGGGGGGGGGGGATCGGAGGGACCGGCGGAGGGATGAGGGTTGGCTGGGGTGGCTGAAGAAGAAAGAAAAGAGAAAGAAAGAAAGGGGTCGGGCATATGAGTTTTGAAATAGATTTCCAACAGTTTTGGTCGAAACATTAATATTTATTTTTAATACGTTTAAATTTTCCGACCGAATCGGTTGCAAGTTCAAAATTTTAATTTTTTGCAGCCGATTCATCGCAAATACAGTCAACAGTAAAATTTTAACTTTTAAATAGAGCGGATTTGGTCGAAAATTTGGTTCGCGGATATTAGCACCAACCTATGCGACCACTATTGTTGGAAATGTGGTAGAAGTTATTTAATATAAATGTAAGTATTTTTTTTTTCCGACTGTTTCGTTCGTAAATTTCCGACAACTTTTTTTCGTCGGAAGATTTCGGTCGGAATTTAGCGATTTGCTAGTAGTGCCTCAATCCTGCATCTGCGACCAAACATCCACTAAAGCGGCCTCGCACCTACGATTCCTGACCGACAGAAGCGGAAAACCTGACCATTCCACAACCTCACATAAGCAAATCCGCATCTCCGCTACAACATGCGCAGTGCGAAACACCAGAACAAGGTCCGCCTAAAAACATGAAAATGATCTGAAACTCATCCGAAACTCACCCGAGGCCCCAAAGACCCCCGTCCAATCATAAAAGTCGATCCTAAAACACAACACGAACCTACTCGAGGCCTTAAATCACACAGAGCAATATCAAAATCACGAATTGTACCTCAAATCGAGCTTAATGAACTATTTTATTTTCAAATTCCAAACTTATGCCGAACACAACTGAACAACTCAGAATCACCTCAAATTTTGCACATAATTTTCAAATGATATAACGAACCTATTCCAACTCCTGGAACGATAATCCGAACCAGATAACATTAAAGTCAACTCCAGGTCAAACCTACGAACTTTTCAAATCTTCAAATTGACAACTTTTGTCAATTAGAGCCAAAACCTTCTAGAAATATCCATATGCAAATTCGGGCATACACCCCAAGTCCAAAATCACCATTCGTACCTAACGGAGCGATCAAAATCCTGATCCGAGGTCAAATACACAAAAGTCAAACATGATCAACTCTTTCAACTTAAAGCTTCCTAGTTGAAAATCATTCTTCCAATAAATCTCGAACCACTCAAAAACCTAAAAGTGACCATACACGCAAGTCATATTACACCATATAAAGCTACCCATGATCTCAAACTACTAAAATAACTGCAAATATTTAAAACGATCAATCGGGTCGTTATAGTTTTTGAGAGAAAGGTAGGGGATTGCCGTTGTTCATGGTAAGCAGTAAACAAATAGTATTGGCATTCCATTTTTCTTAATCAAATGTGAATTATTTTTGAAATGGTCTAAGTTGTGAAACGTTAGAATCTATTTAGAGAATATGGACCAAGATTGAGACAGAGTTTGAAAGAGTCATGGAGGGGAGATGGACAAAGACGAAATTAATTAATAAGATGATTCAGCAGTTTGTCTGCCCATCACATTTGATAACATGCCTTTGGAAGTATGAACAACATCAATGTTTCACTTAGTCAAATTATTCTAGAAAGAGTGGATCGATTAAGCTGGTCATGATGAAATATGAACGGCAGCCAAGAACAATACTTATACAAGTCGTGAGATAAAGTCAATCACCCTTCCTATCACCTGGCCCACACTCAACCCCTTCCTTTGAAACCAATTTATTTACTCCATTACTTATATAAAATTTTCAAAACTTTTAAGATATAAATTAATAAGACTACATAAATATTTTCACGGGATAATTTGTTCGTCAAGCTAACTTCTCAACCATTACATTTAATATTTTCTCGTACTAGCTTTCCTGTGTGGAATATAGGAAATATTTGTTACTCTATCTACTCTAAAATTTAATACTTCTAGTCACCGGCGGAACCACGAATTAATGGAAGAAGATTTTTCTTATTTAAAAAAACTAGAATATCACACTTGAAATTCGAACATGTGACGAGCAATTTTTGAACCGTTTTGCCAAATATCTTCCCTTCTATTTAGGCAATTAAACAATTTTTATGTAACTAAAAAAATTATTTTTCTCTGATTTGCATAATATAATTTTCGATAAAGGTTATTTAATTATACCCCTTGACTTTACATAACCCTGCCCCCTACTTTTCACTTTTCAAGAATTAAACTAATGTTGCTCACATTTTAAATCATATTTGTTCGCCAAACTGACATGAAAATGTGATTTATCAGTGCAAAATAATGTCAAATTATCAATTTTATTCCAGCAAAAGAGGCAATTAATACTATACAAAGGAGTAAACATTTACAAGTACATAATGAAATCATGCCTCCAAGAGAATTGTATTTTTAAATTCAATTAACAAATGCTAAGAAGAGCCCAACGACCAATAGAAAGAGAAAATCTCACTTTATACCCATTAAATCTAAACTATGTATCCTTTAATGCTCATGCCCAAACTATTTACTATTCCTACCCATGGGGCCTAAATTAATTACCCGCTAACCATCTTTTTAGAAACTTGAACTATTATAGATGCTCAAAAAAGATACAATAAATTTGAGCCCAATATATGAATTAGGTTAAAAAAAACCATTTCGTAATCAACAGTGGAAGCTAACCATTTTTGGTGTTAGTAATTACCTTATCGAACATAAAAACCCTATCTATGTGCTTCCCAGCAATGTTCTGTGAAACAACTACTTCTCTTTGGTACTCATTACAAGTCACCACCTGCGAAGCATTGTTCCGTACTTCATCTTCGCTAAACGGCCTGTAACAATATTTTAAAAAAATAAATCAAATGCAACTAACAAAAGGAATGTAGAACTCTAACAATTTAGTAATTGAGTATTAAATGATTAATATTAAAAGTAATTAGCAAATTTTTCAAAAC